TAAAAATTAAAACAATTAATATATTTTCCCATTTAATTAGTCCCACCTACCATTTAATAAAATTAAATAAAATTTAATTAATTCTTCCATGAATTAGGAAATAATTTTATTAATTGAAAATTGAAGTTAAAGGACATTTTTGGTACTTTCCAAGGTTGTCAAAATCGAGATTTTACTTAAAATCGTTTTGGGTGGGTAAAATCGGAATCGTAAAATCGAATCGATAAAATCGAGATTTTATTAAATTTAATAAATAAATAATAAAATTTTAATAAAAAACAAGAGCAATGCTTGGAACACCACTCTCCAACCAATACTTCCATTTTCATTGGGCCACGTCATGTTGGTTTCTAGAGAGGTCATCAATTCATGGCTAATTAAGCTTGGGTGGCCCAACAAAGAAGCATGTGTTGGCTGGAGAGTGCAGGAGGCGAGTGCCCCCAGCAGCTAACATTGCCCAAAAAACAGCTAGTACTGCCCAAAAACCAACACCAATCACGTGTCAACATACTACCCACTAAAAAGAGTACCCCTCCACTGTTTCACACTTTCACCTTCTTCGCCTTATCATCTTCTTTCTTTTCTACCATTTTTCTACATTCAAGCTCGTTTCCTGATCCTTATCTACTCCTTTTTTTGGCAACAAATTTTATCCTTCTTTGCTTGAGCAATGAGCAGCAGCAACCAAATCCTACTATTTAAGGCTGGCTCCACATGATTGAGGTCACCAAATAGATTTCCATCCCGCCAGTGCGTGAGATGTGAGCAATGGCAGTGAACAGCGGCACACCGGCACCGTAGCAGTCCAAAATCTTTCCTTCCCCTGCGGCATATTTCTGGAAATCTCTTCTTCAATTTTTGTGAAAGTGAAATCGAGATTTCAAACGATTTTACGAAAAAATCGTGCTTTTACGTTTTTATCATCCGATTTTATGAAAATTCGATTTTGAAGTCGATTTTACTCGGCGTCCATACCTAACATCGTAAAATCTTAAGATTTTACGATATAAAACGCGATTTTGACAACACTGGTACTTTTTGAAGTTTAAGGATGAATTGGTTCAAAAATAAAAGCTGAGGGACCAATTTAGGTATTTAACCTAAAAAATATGTTAGCCACGTCAACCTCACTATTCAATTAATCCTTAAATATAAAAAGTTGAAAGTTGACATCCTTAAATAGAAAATGTTGAAAGTTGACATCCTTATTTAGAAACTGATAAAGTTAACATCCTTATTTAGAAAAAAATTGAAAATTGGCATCCTTATTTAGAAACTGATAAAGTTAACATCCTTAAATAAAAAAAGTACAAAGTTGAAATCCTTATTTGCACCTTTACTCAATTTGCTTTAATGGCATGATTTAAGGGTTTATTTGCTTGTTTTGTAATTTAGGGCATATCTGCTAAAATAGAACAAGTTTGAGGGCTTAAAGAATAGTCTTCCTATTTAAGCTAAGTTCTACTTGTCCAGACTAAAATGTACTTTCCCTTTTTTCGTTCTTTGCTAGTTTGCTACTGCTTCTCTTAGAAAGTTAAGGGCCACAAGACAAGTGAAATTATTAGGGGCATCAATCATTTGTTTTTTTGCCTTTACGACAAATCAAATTAGTTTTTTTTTTTTTTTTTTGAAACGGACAAATCAAATTAGTTT